AGAGAGAAGGCTAAAGATAACAACAAAGAGATCCTTGCCATGGTTGTATTGCTTATGGCAAGTAAATGTTAAAGAAAAACTAAAAGGGAGAGAAATATAAGAAGGAAGTGCCTTCAGATTTGAGATCTTGGGAAGGTATATATACTTTGTTCTGAATTTTTATAAGCTAATTATAGGATACAAAAATGGTTAGTCATGACAAAGAGAAAAACAACAAACAATGAGATATTGATGGAAGTCTGTTAATTTTTCTTTTGTAAGAGTTTTAGTGAATGATACAAGAAATAGGAGGACAAATCATATCAGTTTCAATCAAATCGTTACTGAAGTTAAAACAAATAAAACAAAATTTTCGTATCTGGAATGAAATAAATGGAAACTGTTACCTAGAAGAAAAAACAAAAAAAAACACTGATACCTAGGTTTTTCGTGTTATGATTTTAGTTTCTTTATATATGAGTGCATACTTCTCTAACAGATCGATAATGGTGGCTCCTTCCTCCTTATCAGATTAAATGTTATTTAAGAAATGATGTTCTTTTGAAATAAAATGTATCAAGTAGCTTTCTCATTAAACCAGTGGCGCTTGAGGGAATAAACCCAATAAGGTGAACCCGGAATCAAACTTCACTGGCCACACTGATACATTTGAATGTCCAGGAGAGGATAAATCCGTGGGCTGTACCTCCACCCGAGGATTAGGTCTGTGTCTTTAATAGACTAGGGTTTAACCCTTTTAGTTTACAAAAAAAAAGTATCTTTCCTATTTTATGACACGGCTTATCAATGACCTAGACAAAGATTCACAAATGAGTGTAATGCAAAAGAAGGGATTGTATCTGCTTCAAATGTGACGGGAAGTACTTCAAAAGTCATAGTTGTTATATGAGGAAATTCCATAAAAATACTCTAACAAATTTCATTAAACCTTTCAATATTTAAATTTTTCGTGCTCAGTTAATATCCAACTAATTATTTTGCTCGCTTTAACACATTTAAAAAAAAAAATACCTCTTTTGATATCCAACCATTGTTTATATTAATTAAAATAGTAATAAATTTCAAAAATAAATAAAGAAATCTCCAAAATCAAAGAAAATAAATTTATATTAATATTTAGGGGAGAAAGTAAATAAAATAAAGAGAAATTTTAAATTTCTAAAAATTTAATTTTTGAGAAAAAAAACTAATTTCAATAGTTAAAACCTAAAAGTTTTAATACAAATTTAAGATTATAAACAATTTAGTTAAATTTATTTCTCAAACACAAAACTAAATTAGATTTTTCTGAGATTTTAAAATTTTTATTCATTTTTTAAAAATTCAATTGAAACACTTTATTATTTTTAATAAAATAAATAATGTTTGGATATTAAAATAGACACAGTTTTAATATTTTTTGTATTAAAATGAACAAAATAACTAGTTAAAATATTAAAATGCATATAAAATAATTTTGAATATTAAAAATTTTAATAAAATTTAGTTGATTTATTTTTATGGAATTTTTTTTTTATTAAGGTGCTGCAAGTATTGAAGGTAGTGAGGAAGAATCGAGAGTATGAAGAGGTAAGCTATAATAGAACAAGAACTGATGGATGTGTTCCTAAATTCTTATTTTGATGATTAATTCTCTTATTTAAGACTATAACAGTGCATGGCATTGGAAATACATAAATGCATAGTTGATTAATTCTCTGTATTGCGTCTATGCCTATGCCCTTTGTCTTGACGACAATGTTTGTCTTATCTTGTCAGTGCAACTATTAGCACATCTTATTTTGTGCTTACACCACAAGAAAATATACCAGAGACCAACAACAAAAACAACCATATTTTGGCTGAAAATGGCTATTTCCAACAAACTAGTCGAAAACATTCATTAGTACTCTTTTGTCGAAATTTGTTTTTCCAGAATTTGTGAGAAATTTCTGATAAATTATAGAGGACACTAAATTACCGGAAGTTTTCAACAAAAGTTTTACAGCGATTTCCACAAACATGTTTACGATAGTTTCCATCTAATTATACGTTAAATATTAATTTAAAATAGAACTCAAATAAATAAAACCAAAATTTAAAATTAAATTTTAATGAGAACTATTTATTAACAAAAAAAAAATTTAAAACTAAATATTGCCAATTTTTTATTATTAAAATAACAAGATGTATTAAAATAAAAATATTCTGACCAAATATCATTAATCCTTTTAATATCTAAAATTTTCTTGCTCAGTTAATATCCAACTAATTATTTTGCTCGCTTTAACACAGAAACTTTTAAAATAATACCCCTTTTTGATATCCAAACATTGTTTACATTATTTAAAATACTAATAAATTTCAAAAAAAAATTAAATAAATATCCAAAATATAATAATAATATAAAAAAAATTGAAATTTATTTTAAGATTCAGGTGAGTAGGTAAATAAAATAAGGAGAAAACTCAAATTTCTAAAAATTTAATTTTGTAGAAAATAAAATTGATTTTTATTTTAGAGAAGAAAGTAAATTCAATAATTAAAACCTAAAAGTTTTAATACAATATTTAAGATTATACACAATTTAATTATTTTTATTTCTTAAACTTAAAATATTATCAATTTTTATAGATTGTTTAAAGGGGGTTTTGCAAAATTGACTCAAAACTCATAGTCAAACACAAAACTAACTTATTCTTTTAACTCATCTTGTTTTTGTCCTATCCACCCCATATCTTCATTTTATTTACGAAAATGCCATTAAATTTTTTTTTTACTTTTTTCGAAAATGGCCTTTTTACTCTCTCAACCTCATCATCTTCAAGTATTTACAACATTACCATTGCCATGAATACTCCCAACAACCTTGTACAACCCAACAACCTTGTACAACCAAGGTTTGAAGCTTTTAATGCACTTAACATCGATACTCATACTCTCTTTCTCAATTGTTATGAACTAAAAACAACATCTCCTTCACTTTGTCTCCATATTCATACCAAAAACCCAAGCTTTTGATAGCAAATTTTTTATGGTTGATAGAGCCATTTAAGCATACAATTGTTGGTGGGTTACTTTCGTTCGATGTTCTGGGTGGTTGGAGAAGACTCTGTGTGCAAAGNTCTCCTTCACTTTGTCTCCATATTCATACCAAAAACCCAAGCTTTTGATAGCAAATTTTTTATGGTTGATAGAGCCATTTAAGCATACAATTGTTGGTGGGTTACTTTCGTTCGATGTTCTGGGTGGTTGGAGAAGACTCTGTGTGCAAAGGAAGTCATCTCACCTAGTTTAAGGTTTGAAATTGAATTTTTTTCCAGACATGTTCGCATAGAAGACTTACCCGTAAGTCATATGGATGTAGAAGACTTACGGATAAGTCTTCTGGTCAAACAGACGACTTACTTCTAAGTCGTCCAGCTTTGTTTGTTAAAAATAAAAGCACCAGACGACTTATAATTAAGTCGTCTAGGTAAAACGGTCTACTTTTGCTTTTGACCGAATTGTGTCAGATATTTGACTTTTTCTGGACGACTTAAAATTAAGTCGTCCCTGGGAAAGTTAAAATTTCAATATTTTATTAAATCTAGACGACTTACGGATAAGTCATCTTAGGTTAGTTTTGCAATTCAAAAATAAAACTTAAATTTTTAACTTCTCCAGACGACTTAATT